CAAAATCCACAATTCTACAGTCCAGTAGAGACATTAGAGGGGAGTTCAAGGACCTGGAGTTCGTCAGCCAAGTCTAAGATGGAAACGGAAATTTGGGAACTGTCTGCAACAGATAGTACCATAGGCTTGAGGGGGGATGAAATCACCTAGTAAAGTAAGAAGAGAAGAGGGTCTACTGTTGGGTAAAATACTCTACTTGATAGAGTAGAGGTGGCTACTAGGTAGGACACTGTTCGTTTAATCCCCATAATAATTCTGTTAATTGTATCCTACTGTAATCCCCATTTTACAGATGAGGAGACTAAGGCACAGATTGGCTAAGGAACTTGGGCAAGGTCACACAGGGAGTAAGGGAGACAGTCGGTGTTCAAACCAGGAAGTCTGGCTTCAAGAGTTCCGGTGCCCAAGATTTTACGCACTTAAAAGGCATTCTAGAGAATGTGAACTTCTGTCTCCTTCCCCTCTCCCCAGTTCCATAGCATTCCCAGATTTTCACTTGCTGCCCTGGATTTGTGGCAGAGTGCACATGTGGTCTGGCTCATCTGAGACCATGTCTCTGAGGATGAAAACTGAGCATGTAGGACTGGGAGCTCAGTTGAGTTAACTCGGAGGGTGTTTGCCATCAGGAGGCACAGATGCTGTTTAAGTCAGGAAGAAATGAGCGTTCACTTCAAGTCCTGCTTTAGAAAGCCTCTTTGTTTTATGACTCTGGGTGCAAGCAACCCTTTTAATTTTGTGTTTTGGATTCCAGCCATAGGAGGCCTTCTTTAATGTAGCAGATGGCTGCAGACAGGCAAGCCAGGTTCCTCCATTCTGCATCAAGCAGCCCTCCCTCGAGAGGGATCTCCCAATTATGTTGCTCTGAAAAAGAGAAGAGAAGAGAACTTAAAATGGACACATTAAATTTACGCCACACGGAAAGTCACCACTGCTTTAACCATTTGCAAACATTAGCGGGGTCAGGCAAACCTTTGAGCAGCTGATGAAGATTTGGATTTTTTCCTGCAGAAAATGTGACGTAGGTACCTACACAAAAATGTGCATATTCACTGGGGGGGGGGTCACAGGGTCTCTCATATCTGTCCCTGAAGCTTCAAGGGGTCCATGGCCTGGAGAGTCCTGAGCCTCCAGGAGAGGCAGCTGTCATTCTTTTATTTTATGTTTCTTTTTTTTTTTTTTTTAAATACATTAAGACTCTCGACATCTGAGTTATGAAAATAAAGGGTCTGTGGACTATTAGGCGATCATTTCACACCAGAACACTCAGATTTTACTGGGGAAAAAAAAACCAAACCCTTTCAAATGTCGAATAAAGTTACTTTAGTGTATTCTCTGGTTTGCACAGAACCTTGTGGCTCATTCTGTTAAACAGTAACATGAAGTTTCTTTGGAAAATTTTAACATGATGACTTTTCTGTCAGTTTTGTTTTTTTTTTTTAAGATTTTATTTATTTATTTGAGAGAGAGAAAGAGCATGAGCAGGGGAGGAGCAGAGGGAGAAGGATAAGGAGACTCTGCGCTGAGCGAGGAGCCCAACGCGGGGCTCAACCCCACAACCCATGAGATCATGACTTGAGCTGAAATCAAGAGTTGGACGCTTAACAGGCTAAGCCACCCAGGAACCCCTTTCTCGGATTTTTGTATACCATTTCTTTGGGATCTCACTCTTCTCACACTTTTCTCCATTTAGCTCTGCCTCCTGCACTGTTTCTAATAATAAGATTGGAGGTGGGGCTAGTCTGTCAACTTAAGAACATGTACAGAATGTTTAGAACTTGGGAAGTTAGCTTTATCGTTTCTAGGACACTGTCCAGAGGAGTCACTCAAACTCAGACATTTCTTCCTCTCATTCCACTTGCCATGACTGTCTCAGGAAGTGGGAATCTTTGAGGTGGCTACTAGGTAGGACACTTTATGGATCTCTGTGGTCATTCACCGATCCTTCCACACTGGGTGACTCCTCCAGACGTCATCACATTCTTCCAATTCTACTGGGTGTGCACTGGCTGTTAAGGGAGAATCTTCAGAGTTATAGCAAAGAGTGGAATTGACATATTTATTAAGGATTCTGACACCAAAACCATTTTGCCTCAATTACCCTAAATTTTAAATTAAAAATTAAGAATATGGGAAGACTGAGTTAATTATTCCAGTTCTTCATGTTCCTTATATGGTCCCATCTTTCCTGAAAATTACCTTCTCTTTGGTTCTGGAAAATTCAAGGTGGGAGTAGGGCTACACATTAAGGCTGATTTGTTCTACCTAATGAATAACTAAAACAATTATTTTTATTTATTTTTGGAAAAATCCAAAGAAAAGGCTCACTTTTTCCTTAAACATCAACTCAATTAAGGAAAGCCTATTTGGGACTTCAAACAGGGTTTCTCAACCTCAGCACGATTGACATTTTGGGCTAGATAACTCTTGGTAGAAGGAGGCTGTCCTGTATATTGCAAAGAATTTAGCAGCTTCTCTGGCCTCTACCCAGTAAATGCTATTAGCACCACCCTCCTAGATGCGACAGTCACAATTATTTTCAAACACTGCCAAATGTTCCCCGGGAGGAGGGCACAGTCACCCCTCGTTGAGAGGCACTGGCCTATATTATCCAGAAATAGGTTTCTTTACAAATAAAGCAAGATTGAGAATTGAAGCTGCTTTTATCTGATTCTCCTGGGGGAATGCTAAACTGAAAAATCAGTTTAACTATTTTGATGTCCCACGGAGACTATATCTACTTGTTCAGATCATCCCATTCTACATTTGTTTTTAGAATCCATTTGATTGTCAAAAACAGGAACTTCCTTACTCCATTCCTAGGGCTCCGACATGCCAGTTCATTGACTGTTTGATAATCTTTTCGACAATCTAGGCATTTAGTGATCTGTCTGATTTTCTCTATCCTTTGAGTCTGGGCAATTCCTCCGTTCTTTGGGAGGCATCTTTTGTGCTCTTAAAGTTTTTCTTCCTCCTTCTATGTTATCTCTTCCAACTTCAGACCTAAGCTGAGCCCACAGAGCAACTTGGAGAGGTTGGAGTCTCTGGTTGCTTTGATCAGTATGTGAACTCATAGTTCAGGAAACAAAACTGTTGGCTTTGAGATTATCAATGTGAGCATTCATAGGAATCCTGCAATCACAAACTGTTCCTTGCATATTATGCAGTGACTGCAAGACAGCAAATGGTTTGGGGGAAGATTTTACTAGCTATTTGAAGTGTGGAATGGCTCTAGTACACAAAATACTTAAACCAAATTATTATGTCTTATAATGTTCAACAAAACACTCCACAAACATTTAGTTCTGGAAAAAAAAAAAAAGGCACCCTCAAGGCAGGGTTATGGGCACTTCTGGGAGTTGTAAACCCATGCAGGCTCCAGAAATATGTGCCTTCCAAGGACTGGAAACTTCTGAATTACCAACAAATAATCAGTGAGTGTGACAAAGAGTTAAAGTACACAGACTTTACTTTCACAAAATTTATGATGTAGTAAAGAGGTTTAAGATGTAGACCTGAAACTGCACACCAATGGTCAATAGGCTAAATCGGGACCATGGATTTGTTTTGCTTGGCTTGGATAGGATTGGCCTCCTGAATGTCTGAGAAAGGGAGAAAAAGTGAGAAAGAATGAAAGAAGTGGCTAAGCATATAAAAGTGAGATTTTTTTTGCATTAACATCCAGATTTCCAGCTGTTTTTGAAAAATCAGAAGATCTGCCAACACTGCCCCTTATTTCATTTCCCCATGGTGGCAGTTGGCTGGAGTGGATCAGCAGCTGCCCCTGTGATCAGAATACGCATTGTCTGGTTCCTCACCCTGGCCCACTGCACTTCCTCACCAGGCCCCTGTCCCATTGGAAATGGCCACCTCTCATGCAGACACTTGTGCAACATCTACTTAGTCTTTTCACTGTGGGAACAAACTGCTGGAGCCCCGAGCAAAAGAGCAGTTGTCCATTTGTGTGAGAGGATGCTGGCTCAGGCCGTGGAGGTGATAATAGAAAGCAGTGAGAAATCAGATTTGGCATATATTTTGAAGGTAGAGTTAGTAAGATTTCATGATGGATAGACTTAGGCTATGAGGGAGAAGATTTGGAAGTGACTCCAATTTTGATTTTTACTTAGGTTAATTGGCTGAAAAAGGAAACCTACCGTGGAGTACTGGAAAACCCGGGTTGAACTTTTAAAATGAGAACAAAATTATTTAAAAGGTTTTCTTCACTAGTACTCTTCAAACTGGACACCCTACGTGGTGCTACCATCACATTCTGGGAAATGCTGACGCTTCGGGGGAATTTAAGGAAAAGAGCAAGGAGAAGATCCCCAAACAGTAAGGAAGAGACTTAGGTTCTTGCCGCAGGAGGCGGAGTGGAGGGATACCAGCCTACAGGTGAACTTCGGGAAACTCAGTGGCCTCACCTGTCCAGAAGGGTGTGTGTATCTTGAACTATTGGGGTTGATCTCCCAATACATGGACAGTCCTAATTCGGGGAACTCCAAGTGCAGGCCCTGCCAGCGGGGTTGGGGGAGAGCCGAGACTCCGAGATTTCCACACAGAAGGGGTTCTAGGATTGCTGCTCAGAAGTTTGTTTTGAAGCTAGTTTTCATAAAAAGAGGATTCTCTCAGAGTTATATAGTTACTCAAAAAATCAATAAAAGTAGCAAAGTTGCGTCTGAAGATTTTTCTACAGTGTTTGAATGATTGAGAAAATCTGCCATTGTCCCTATCAAGGGCAGTAGTTTTATTTTCTTACAACGTGGGTTGCTTTGGTTAGTGGAGACTACTAGCGGCCATCGTGGCGGTGGGAGCTCACCGACTCCCACGCCTGGGCCTGGCCATTGCCACAAGAGCCTCGGGCGGATCGGAAGCCAGGCTGGGCCGCGCGGAGCCAAGCGCCAGGGCTTCCTTCCCTCCGGCCCCGCAGCGGTCACTCGGCCTCTCGCGCGCATGCGCGGATTCCAGCGGCGTCCTCCCCGGCTCCTTCCCTCCCTCATCCGGGTCCTGGGCGAGCGGGCGCCGTGCGCGTGTCCCGCGGCCGAGCTGCTAATAAAGTTGCACTGAGGGAAAGCGCAGCGACGGCGCCCGGGGAGTGCGTGCAGCCGGCGGGTGAGTGAGTGTGGGGCCCCGGGGCGGGCGAGCCGGGCTGGGGGCTGCAGCTTCTTCCGGGACGCGGCTCCCCCTCAGGCCCCAGTGGCTGCTGGAGTCGGGCCGAGGCGGGGGCGTTGGGCCGCGGGCGGAACGGAAACCGCCCGGGCCTGCGGGGCGGGAGGTAGGCCGAGTCCCGGCCTGCAGAGGTTCGGGCGGCCGAGGATGGGGCGGCCCGTCCGGCTGCGGAGGCCTTACTGCGGCCGGGGGCGTCTCGAGGCTGCCCTTGGTCCCTGCGCTGCCGTTGCCGCCCGGACTCTGGAGGGAGGCGCTCTGGGCGCCCTCGGGGCGGGGATGGGGTGGGGTGGGGTGGGGGAGATTCCCGGCCCCGCTTGGGTCCGGAGGAGCGGTTTGTTGTACCTCATCTAAGCACCACTCTCAGTCACACCCCTGGTAGGATCGCCGTGCTGGGTCGAGCGGTGTGATCTGCTACCCTGCAAAGCTGTCCAGTGGCTTGATGAATCCGTGCCGTCGTCGCTTTGTGTTTCAGAGATAAGGATCCACGCTTATCGGTGGGAATTACACTCTGGGCACTTGTGCCCTGCTACTGCACTCTGCTGGTAGTTAGACCTGGTTTCTGCCACTTGCCGTGCTAGTTTTCACCATTGCAAAGATTTCTTGTCCTTTCTTGTAAACTTCTGCATTGGTGCAAGGAGAATGCCAAGCCGTCCCTGTTTGCCTTCATCATATTCGGTCTCTGCCCGGGCTTTCACTTTAGTATCAGTACTCAAATTCATATTCCGGTCTCTCCCCTTCCCCCTCCCTTTTCCCTCTCTTCCCCTTTCAGCTGCTGCTATTACGTGGAGTTTGGAGCCTAAGCTTTGAAAACTCCCATGTGGCGCCTGTCTTAAGTTGGAGCATGCTCAGTAGCCAAAAACAGATTTCGGTTGCAAAAAGAACTGGGGCGAGGATAGCCCGGGTATTTGGACGTGTGCCCGATTCCTAACAAAATGTTCCAATTCTGGTTTTGATGGCATTGGAGAATGGAGCTGTAGGCCATCCTGGAGGTGAGGAATGCCTGAACACCCTGGGCCAGATCACTATCTTGATTGCAGAGACATTGTTTCCTGACCAGCTGGAGGTCTAGAAGGAGGGGGGGGGAGAACATTCCTGGCTGCTTGTGCGTTTAAATGGGTGTGGTGCTAAGTATATCTTGTTTACCTTATCTTTCTGTGGAAAAAGTTTTGGGTTTGTCACATCATGCGTGTTGCCTAGCACTACCAAAAGTGTTCTTATCTAGCAACAAAGGCTGGGTAGGTGGAGGTTGCGGCTTGGCTTCACAGAAGTTGAGAGGAAAGGGTGCTTGAGTTGCTGTTTTAAAAATTAAATTTAAGTTCTTAAAAACCAGAGTACTTGCATTTCCTTAGAGTACCTGAATTGCCCAGAGTGAGTTTTGAATTTTAATTTGAAACCTAAAAGGCTCAAAAACCTTAGTCCCAGTAAATTTAGTGACATTGCAAGTAGGGTGAAGTTTCTGCTAGATGTCATTGTGGTGGTGGCTGTTGTAAGGAAAACAATACCCTAGACACAATGTGACAGTTTCACACGTATTGATCAGAATACTCTTAGGAAATTAGTGTGTCCCAAATTTAGTAAGTAAGGGATTATTTACAGATTTGTACAAATTCTTTTTTTTTTTCTTTTACTCCTTTGGTAGCTATTTTTTCCCCTCTGCGGTGAACCCTGAGATTACAAGAATACGGAACAACTCATAAGAGGCAATTTAACAAAATTTAAACTTCACAAAGGTGGTATATAATTACAAGAATACGGAACAACTCAGACAATTTAACAAAATTTAAACTTCACAAAGGTGGTACCTAATACGTTTTGGATTTTTAAAATTTAAGTTTTGTTTTGAATGTTTGCATGGTTACATCCACCTCTCTTTCCCTCTATATTGCAGATCCCTCCATCAGCGTGCCTTTTTCACATAGCTGTTTTTATTGCATAAATGTTACTGTGTATCTTTGTTACAAAAATTCACTCATCATTTATTCTTCCATTTCTTTCAAATCTGAAATAGCTAAAATAGACAGTAAAAGTTAGGTGAACCTCCTCAGTTCGCTTTCCTCTTAGATTTTAAATGCATCCATATGATACAGTCTGGTAAAAAGGAGGAAAGCCAGCAGTGAACTGGGGAAGAGAGAAGAATAAAATATTTTTGTAGATTCTGTGCAGATTTGGTGGTATTATCTACTTGTCTGGTTCACTTAGGTAGGCGCCACAGAAATGGGTAGATTGATACGTGTTGCATTTCTTTTCCCCCTGGCAAAGTCAGCTGTTAATTTCAGTGGGACACAGTGGCAGAATGTTGTTACTAATGAGGTTTGAATCGGATTGTTGTTTACTGTTGGTTATGTAACATGTTGCTGGAAGTATTATTAAAAGTTCCCTTCTGCAGCAAGGTAGAGGCAAGTAAATTCTGCTTACTCTTCACTGGGTTTTAATTCTTGGCTGAACCTGAAGGCACATTACACTATAACCATAATTATACCTGGGCAGCCTGTCTGTTTCCTGTTTGCATCATGAACCCAAACATTATGATTTGCAGTGATGATCTTTTTTGTCCTTTGCGTTAAACAGAGGCAATATGTTTTCTCTGTCTACTGAAAACAGATTTGTAACTTGGTCAAATCAAAGATACTGGCTTCTTAGTGTTTTGAAGACTAGGCAGTAAAATACCAGTTTTTCATCTTAGTGATTTAAGTTGAAATACAAATACTATCTAAAAAAATCTGTTTCACGCATATTGTTTGATAGTATTTTATGTAAATTTTAATGTTACCAGTAGTTTCTAGAGTTTTTGAATTAAGAAAGCCCTTTTTGTTTATGACTTATCAGTGTTTATTATTACCAGATGTATATGTTGGTTTAGGCACTGAGCCACACATTTGGGTGAATTTCAGAGCCTGCTTGAGTATACTTTAAGATATAGCCACCTTTATTCCTTTGGTTTATCATTCTACAGTGTCTTCTTCTGGAGCGTCCGTCCGTGTTCCCTGTCGTGTGTGTGTGTGTGTGTGTGTGTTTCATACTAAGCACAAAGAAGAAGCCAAAATAGTTTATTTCTTCAGATGTTGCCACTGCCTTACATCCAGTGGATTTGCCAGTCTACTCATAAGGTCAAAGACGGTGAAGAAAATTTCCTTTTATAAAGGACAGTCGCAGCCTGAGAGATGATTTTTATCTCTACCAGTCCGAATATTCTAGAGAAGAGAGAGTTATCTGGAAGGATAGGACCCAAGAAGGCTGCACAGAGGTAGGGTGCTTTCCCACCGAAAAAGATGATGCATGACCCCAGGAAGCCTGTCCATGTCTTCTCATACCTTGTTTTTATACTTCCAAAGCTAATAGAATAATAGAACTGGAATTTTTCGTGCTAGATTATCCAGTTTATTGCCATTGTGTAGAACTGTGAATCTGAGAGGTATGTTTACTAGTTGGAAGTTTAAGATGTACAGTTCTTTTTGAAGAACTGTTAAGATTTAGATTGTTGTTAGGATATCTCCCATTTTCATATGTCATCTTCATATTCTAAAATTTTATTGTTTTACAAGTTTGAAAAGGTGGTATAATTACATAGTAGGTTTTTCAGAAATAGTCATCTAGTTCCTAACTTTTTAGTTTTGGTGGTTTTTTTTGTTTGTTTGTTTTGTTTTTGTTTTTTTCTTTTGTTTTGCTTTGGGCAGCTAGGTGGAGAAAATTTTGGCCCTATCATAGTAGAGAGGCGGTTTCAGTGACTTTTCTTCCTGCTTTTATTGTAGTATTCCCTAACTTAGTTGTGATAGTATTTTAGAAGAAAGAATTCTTTATTAGACAGTTCTCTATGGGCAGTACTATAATTGTAATTGACTTTTGGAAGCTAGTGTTAAAGTACATTTTGTAAACAGGTTTTGCTCTTGAATTTTGTGGTATACCAGTCTCTGTCTATAATGCATATACAGTTTACAGACTAGTATACTCTATGAAAATTTGACAATGGTTTGATGTGTTGTGAGAGTCTAACTAGGTTTTTCCTTTTGATTTCTGTGTATGTTTTGTTATTGCTGAAAATAACAGAACAAAACTGGTGTCGCCATCCCACCTTTCTCTGAGCATAGCACGTGGGGTTCTGAGAAGTGTCTTACACTTTTCCAATTTAACTGTGATCTCAGAATATGACTGGTGCTTTCAAGGCAAGTTTTGTTTTGTTCAGTTCTGTTTTCATGATGGGTTAGGATCTGTCTTGCATCCTATCTGGTAGGCTGTATAACTTGAGATCTAGTTATTCTGGTTTGTATGTTCCCAGGAAAGGGGGTACTACAGAAATATTTCAAAGCTAGTCTTCTCTTTCCCCTTATTTACATCTCTGTGCCCACTTAAGCGAGTGCCTGCTTAACTCACTATTTCCACTTTTTTGAGGTGGAAGTGTATAACTGAGTGACAACAGGAGCCAAAAAGCTACCCAGAGCTGTATTTGCTCTCTTTTCTTCTATGTGACTTGAGTTCTGGGGTGCACATGAGGTATCTTGAGAACATCTTCCTAAAGCATCGTGTACACAGGTTAGTGCTTTGTGCTCCTGAGACCATTTTATAGTGTAATGATTTGGTATCTGCCCTTGACGGTTTTATAACTTAAAGGAAAGCACTATAATGATTGACCAGCTCTGTGTCTATTCCTGTGCCTACAAGCCTGTGCAAGTATACTCCAACACATCTGGTAGTAATATCGGAAATCTTGCAGGCTCTGTGGGGGTGAGTATACATCTAGATCAGGCGCTGCTTAATTAGAGGACTTAGAGGAGCAGGTGAAGTTTAAAGAGTGATTAAAAACTGGGAAACAAAAGTCTGGATGTAGGAGATAAAAAAAAGAGAGACTTGTGTGGGCACAAAGAGAGACTATGTAAGATTATTGTGTGAGAAGTGTCAGGGAACATGAGTTCAGCTCCTGAATGGCTGTGAAATCCACTGTGAGAACTTTTGATATCTTTGGAAATTGAGAGCCATGATTGGGAGAAGTGGAGATTGAAGTGTTTCTCTACTGAAAGTTGTTTCGGTGCCCATGTAATTGTAGCCCCTCTTCCTTATAGATGTTCCCATAAAGAATGGTATTTCTGAATCTAGGACAGCTTGTAGGCAAACTTGCTCCTGGTTTCTCTTCTCTGCCTGTTGCCATGGATGTGGCTTACATGTTTTAATAATTGTATGTCTGGATCCGGGATTGGTTTGACAGCAGTGGTGACTACTATTGATATTAGAACCATAGGGAAGGATATTTTTAAAGCTTTACCCCCACCAGCCACAAAAATGTTACCCTTGGAGATATATGTATATATATGCAATATATGCAAGTGTGTGTGTGTGTGTGTATATATATATATATATATATGCACAAGTGACTTTCTTCCATTGCAGGTGATCCTAAGGGCTTTGGTTCTCCAACCTGCTGCAGATCTGGGACTCTTGTTAAAATGGTGGGAGGTAGGGCCCTAATCTCAAACCTAATGAATCTGAATTTTGTGGGATGGTTATGAGAAATTTCTTTCTTTAGAATCTCCATCCATAATTCTTTTCTACAGGGTTGGCTGAGATTATGGTGGGTTGTGACCCATATGGGCATTTATTTGTGTGGGTTGATATGCTCAGCAGGTTCTGTTTTGGCTAACAGTGTTGGGTGGGATTTTTGGATTGGTTGCTTGCCTTTTATTTTGGATTGAAGCAGTTAGAGAGGTGTTGGAGCAGAAAGTGAGGGAGCTGTTTCAATGAATTGAAAAGTCAAGTCTGGGCATGAGCCGTGTGTGTGTGTGTGTGTGTGTGTGTGTGTGTGTGTCTGGGGGTAAGTGTGGAAGGTGGTTTGTGTATGTCTTTATAGGAGTTGGTTAAGAGGTCCTACTAAGTAGCTTGAGGTAAGAACAGGATCTTTGGGTTTTTGATGTTAATATGATTTCATTTGAAATGGAAGCCTGGTAAAGCTTAATAACATTTCATTCATACATTTAATGTATGTAAAATGTAACGCCTGATC